AAGTTTTGAAAGAAGACAAGAATTTTTATCAGCTGAAAAGCAAAACAATCGTACAAAGGTCGGTATTTTGACAATATTTGGAACATTTGATTTTGATCTTACATAAACAACGTTTCTAAAAAATGATTTTATTTAGTCATTAAAATATAAATTTATTTTGGCCTATTGATTTATTTTTTGTGAAAAATTTGGCCAGTCTTCTGATTCACGTTTATGTTGCACATTTGGCGGATTTATCTGTAAACAGTAAACAACGAAAAGAGGTCACAGAGAAAGGGGCGTGTCAAAGGCCAGACGATTAGGCTGAGTCAACGTTGTCCGTTGTCGCTCGCTGCCCATTGTCTTGGTGTGCCAGACTAATTAATTTGTTATGACAATCAAATATATACGTACAATATACAGTTTCCATTACAATTTCTTAATATGTACCAGGCACTAAACAATAATCTACACCGGATAGTTTGGGAGGGAATATTTCCTGATGTCGGTCGAAGTCCATAACTTGTCCTTGTGTGTTGAATACTTTTTTCTAGAAAAAAAAAATAACCAAAAAACCATGTGGTTCTCTAATCATGCTAATATACCTATGAAATTAATTTGATTAAAAGATCTGAAGTGAGAAGATTCACTTCAGTGAAACAAAGTTCTTGCTTACACATGTATCCTCGAGGAACCTATTTCGGTGGTATTAGCAAACTACGCGATAAAATAATCTTGACGGGAAAGATTAAAATAAAACAAATGTGACTATCCTCTGAAGGACTCTTTATTTAATCAAATTATTTCCATATTAGCTGATAAAAAAATCTATAATTTGTTTTTCTTGCGATTTCTTTTTTCCTTGTTGTTTACGTAAGCAGAACTGTTGAGGTACCTAAATCGGTGGTATGGTACTTCTCAAAAGTTTTTACCCTAATAACACGAACCACGGGCATAAATTTATTAACAACGAATATTAAATCGTATACTTGAACAAAGGGATAAATTACAATTCTATAAAAGTTTTATTTATTATTGTGACAGGGACATAAATAAATTTATCACCACATCTTATAACTTTTGTTGTGCAACAAAACTGCAAGTGGATCCAGTGGTTACAATTTTCGCAGTTACACTTAGCCCACTTCACAAAAACAACTTATTTATTTATTTTTTATTCATTTTTTGTATTTATTTATTTTACCAACATGAAACTATATAAACTTTTAATAGCTTTCTTTAGATTTCTGAACTAATTTCTATGTATTTGTTTACTAACAATTTACCAACAAGATTTATAAAAATATACCCCCGGTATCAAAAACATATAACAGACACTAACTTTTGGACATCCTCTGTATTTCTATTTAATTATGCTAGCCATATGACAGTCACGTGACATGAAAGCGCAGACGGTAAGCTGCGTCTACAGTATGTATTTCGATTAATTATTTCTTTTATATCTATATTTAGAAGTCAATAACATTTAGATATTTTTAGCATTAAGAAAATATGGTATTTTTTGTTGATATGACAATATCAGCCATTTACTTACACTTTCCTCTGGCATTTCGGTTTTTTTTTCACCGAGTCGTAAGCTTCCGTGTTTACAAACACTACGCAAAAATCGATGACGTCAGATCTCGCACGGTAAGAAAACGCGCGTGCCCAATGGGAAATACCACCGATTTAGGAACCCCACCGATTTAGGACCTTTGACGATACATTAATATCAGTAGGCCCTATATATAATTTGTACAATTTTACTCCAATGATTTATGACTGGGATATGATTTTTATCCATCTCTGGGATAGAAATGTCTGCATCACTGTGCATGTCATGCAGATATTTCTATCCCCCTGCCCTGAAAATTAAAATCTGCATCCAACCTTTTCTCTTAGAGAAGTGGACAGACTTTTGCGTTGGATGTAGGAAAAAGCATTTCCACTTCTTTAAATAGAATGCATCCAACTCCAAACCAATTTTTTGGTTTGTTTGTTTGTTGTTGTTTTTTTTCCCCATATCATATTTTACAAATTTATATACACTGTTAACAAGTAGAATAATAAAAATACAGCAGATGACATGTATTGTATGTAATATAATTTCTTTTGACAATTAATAGAATTAATTATTGGAATTCTAGAATCAAATTCTTGCAAATTAATTAATTTCTGAAAAGACATTAAAGGTACGTTTATTACAAAGAGAAAAAGCATATGCCATTTAAGGCATTTATCTATTTTAAAGTTCTTAAAACTCCCATGAAAATTAGGTTATAAATTGATTTCAAGTAATTACTTATATGTCTCTGCCAAAATAATGATTAATAAATAATATCATTAAATATAAAGTTAATCATTTACTGTCCCCGTATGTAAGAAACAGCACTGTGTACCTCAGTGATCAACACAAGCTCAAAAGGAGTAAATTCTTTCTTCTGACATTAATCCCACGATAGCTACATTTGGTGCATTAAATTAACTATTAACATGTTTAATGCTTAGATCTATATGATGAATGTGAAAGCTTCCAGACTTTTCTTGTGTTTGGATGATAAATGACTTGTCACAAAAAAAGCTGCATTTGCTGCACTCAAAACGTGATGTGTCTGCAAATGTCCCTTACCTGATGAAATATATCATTTAGCACTATATTTATTTTACCTTACGGTAATTACTTTAAAATGCATGGTTATAGCATGTAAATTGAAGGGTTGAAAGTTTGATGATTTTGTTAGATTAATTAAATAAAATAGTGAGTGGAAACTAAATTGTTGATGAGTGGAAACTAAATTGTTGATCTAGCAGTATTTAACAGTGCAATTGCTCTTATTTAAAGGGCTGGGTGGCCGTGACCATTTTTAGACTATTTTGATCTCCTTTTAGAAGAAGAGCTCCATAATATAAAGATATACAAAAATGATCAAATTTTAAAACTAATATGTATGAGATTTTTCTTTATCAAATGGTAGTTGACAGTTAAAGATATCATATCTAAAAGTTTAAGTTATACCTGGTGGTTAATTTGTTGACCCCCCAGCCTCCTTAAACATAAAAGTGAAAGTTGACAAGCGAAAACTTTGATGATTATTAGAAATTAGTCAATGTCATCAATGTTTCAAGGTTGGCAAAGTTGCCACTTTTACAGTAATGAAATTACTAATACCAGGTACTCAATGTTAAAGAAAATTATCCTAATTCCTGATACATGTATTTCATTGTCTCGAGTCATGGTCAAGAGTCTGGATATTGCTCTTTCTAGAGGGGTTTGTGACAATGCCTATTTAAGACATATTGTAAGGGAGCATTCCTGTCTGACATTATATAGAAATATTCCTGTCTGACATTATATGGGAGTATACATATCAGACATTGTATGGGAATATTCCTGCCTGACATTATATGGGAATATTCCTGTTTGGCATTATATGGGAATATTCCTGTCTGACATTATATGGGAGTATGTATACATATCAGACATTATATGGGAGTATTCCAGACAGACATTGTATGGAAGTATTTCTGTCTGACATCATATGGGAGTCCTTGTGTCTGATATTATATGAGGAGTATTCCTATCTCACATTATATGAGGAGTATTCCTGTCTGACATTGTGTGAGGAGTATTTGTGTCTGAGTCAGATATTGCATAGGAATATTCCTGTCTGACATTACATAGGAGTATTTGTGTCTGACATTGTAAGGTAGTATTTGCATCTGAATCAGATATTGTATGAGGAATATTCCTGTCTGACATTGGGAGTATTCCAGACAGACATTGTATGAGGAATATTCCTGTCTGACATTGGGAGTATTCCAGAAGACATTGTATGAGGAATATTCCTGTCTGACATTGGGAGTATTCCTGTCTGACATTGGGAGTATTCCTGTCTGACATTGGGAGTATTCTTGTTTGAAGTTTTTCTCAGTCATAATGAGGTTTGACTGCATAAGCTAATGGATTCTCTGGTCAGGACGGTGTTTTGTCAGTGATTTGCGTTGTACAAAATGAAAAAAAAAAAATCAAAAGAATATAAGTACGATCCACCTACGAATATCTTGTGATTCAAAGTATAATTGACTCTAGTTATCTATGATATACGCACTGATGAAAGTGCATGTAAAAACCTCTTTGATGATTCAGTATAATTTCACTCTCATTTAACCTAAATTTCTGACGCGTTTCGGAAGTACTTGTGTATAAATAGGACCTTCAGTGAAGTGCTATTGTTTTGATATAGCGGCTGATGTTCTGTTTTTTTACGGCTATGCAATCATGCATATTCATAGTAGATCCTGAGGTCATGACCCGTTCATGTATTTTTGAATTGATTACATGTTCAAGTTAATTTTGTATATCCTGTTTTAATATGTATACATTTACATATGACATTATATTTCAAAATAAATACACCTCCGTTTGAAAACATTTTTGGGGGGGGATTTGACAGATATTATTTATAGATTCTGAAGATCACATTTTAAACACGAGATGACCAGGTCATACTCTTTGGCTTAATTATATAAAGATAAGAAATTGAAGTAATTCAGAAGCAGTTTTTTTTCCATGTGTCATAAAGTAGAACCCAAACACAACTTGGATAAATTTTTATAAGTGATAATAATATCAGAAAAGGATGATGGATATGTTAGCATTTTACGCAAGTTACCGATACAGAACTGAGTGTTCTATGGAAAGGTAGAAAAGTCTGTTTAGTGATTGTATAATCTTATATAATTTTTCTTTGAAAAATATTTACGAAGATCAATTTCCTTTATTAAATGTCAACAGACAATGTCCTCTGTAGTGATGACTTTATCATTCTATAAATGTCAGGGATTTGTCGAGGTTCGCACAGACAAACTTTAACTTTGGAATTAATCTGTCTGGAATTTTTTTGTCATGCTGCATTCATCAATGTTCATGTATGCATTAAAAATAAAATAAATATTTATAAATTTTTGAATTTTATTTTTCCTGCTAACTAGATATAATATTGTCGGTTTTATTTTTTCAGTCCGAACATGACAAAACTTGACGTTCCGCGAGGAAACCTTCGCGCCAACCTCCGGCTGCAGTTGATGAAGCTTCAGGCCGCACAGGAAGACCAGAAGAAGGAAGCGATGACATACTCATCCCAGTCATATAAACCTGTCGCCCAGTCCCAGCCCCAGACCATACAGATCCCCGCGGCCACTGCCCACAACGACACACAGGTCCCCTCCAGTATACTCACGGTAAGTGGTATAAACCGGTCACCCAGCCCTAGACCATACAGATCCCCCGCCTACACACACACACACAGAGATCCCCTACAGTATACTCAGGGTAAGTCCTATAAACTGGTCACTGGGATATTTTCCTTCTGTTTTATTTTTGTCCCTTTCAGCATTCCCACAGTTGGGCAAAACTTATGTGCGAGCGAGCGAAAGCTTCTATATTTTGTTTGTTTGATTGTTTATTTTTAATCGCAAAATAAGCTCAAAGATGTGTTTTTACATACTTTTATGTACTGATAGGATTTTGTGATGAAAAAAATATTTCAACTATAACATTTACCGTAGGGTAAATATTGAATCTTCTCTGAAAGTAACCTTAATACATATATATTACATGTACTTTATTAGAATTAGAAAAATAAATTTAGCAAGGATTTAAATTTGAAAAGACAGGTACATTGATCAAAAAAGGTTTAAATAACATTATAATCTTACATGTTACATGGTTTTACTATTTGACAATTTATGGGTATATAAAGTAACAATATACTAGGAAATTTTTCTTTATTTAATTTTTTTACATTGTTCAGAGATACAGCAATAAAATCTTATTACATGTAAATAAATAAATTTTATATTGTGGAAGCAAATAGAAAAAAAAATTAATTTTTGGGCTCCTTTATAATATTTATTTTCCACATGAAATTTTTAAAAGGCCTTTTGAAAATGTAATTTGATCCTTTTAGAGAGCTTGAGAAACTGCAGTGCAAGCTAGGCCACAAGTTCTTATGGACAATCCCCCACCCCCTTCCAGTTTAAACCTTGGGACTGAATTGTTGGATGTTGGACATTTCTTCACACATCAGATAATTATTTACCATGGGCAAAATAATCAGTACATACAAAAAATACATGTATTTTACAATATGTCCTGCCCACACTCCGCAGGTACCTGTGTGCAGGGTACTGCAGCGCACGACTATTTGATCCAGGGAATGTTTATCTCTTTATTAAATATTGAAGATTGACATTGCAGTAGTTTGTGGTAAAATTCAAACAGAGATTAAGATAGTCCACACACCAGCCTCTGTTTACAATAATACCGTGTACGACAGATACTGTGTACAAACAGTACAGCGGCTTGTGTTTACTAGGCTGGGACTCAGATAACCCAGTTCTCCGTGCAACGTTCACGTAATATTGTGTGTATATGTAGGTGTAATTATGGGTGCAATAGGGTAGTCTGGTGTTATCTATTATAATAAAATTTCTATTTCAAATATACATGTACATGATAAAATGTATGGAAATGTACAATTTACATGCTTTGAAATATATTTCTTTACAAGATGTAGAACTTCTATTTCATGAATTTTATAAAATATGGAATGTACATGATTTAAAGAAAAAAAATTATTTAAATTAAAAAAAATCTTTAAAATTTTCATTTTGTTTGTAAGATATGGAAATGCACATGAATTGAAAAAAAAAAATCAAAATATCTAGTCATGTACATGTAGTTTTCCTGAGACAGTAGTTGGTCAGCATCATAGTGGTAGGGAATTTATTGTATTCTCTAAATACCTGTCAACACCAGGCACATTGGACAAGATCAAACTAGCATAACTGAAATCGTAAACCTCAACCTGCATTGAAGCACAGGAATATCAGTTGTTTACAATGTCCACCTTTGAACTTTGAGATAAATAATCACAACATTCTGATCATTGTCGAAGGCAACATTTGTTACAACATGGTGAAATTATAGGTTCATTTAAGTCCGAGCCATGAAGGAAGTTCCAAAACATTTTTTGTCATGAAAATAATTAAGGTAAATATTATAAGGAAAAAAAACATAATTTTACACGTGCAGATATGTATTAATAATTTCCAAGATCCTCAATTGTAAATATTTTATTTTAGAAAGTTATACGTCATAGTGAACAATAAATTAGTTAGCACTTTCTTTTTGATAAACAACTGAAATCTATTTGATTTGCTTTAATTTATTAATATATAATTTTGATCACGTTTCCTATTTTAATACATGTTTTGAAATTGGTTTTTAGTCTAGACTATATTCAATTAAATGCATATATTTATTCATAATTTGTAATTTTCAGAGAGAAATTTTATAAATAAATTGTTTCCATTATTAATTGTTTATTGAAATGTAAGTGTTGTTATAACTGTAGTTATTAGTTCAGTTAATGAACAGAATTTCTCAATTGGTTAAGATGTCCTTTGCTTTATTTCCTGATTTTGTTTTGCTTTCTATTGGGAAAAGGTGGGGGGGGGCTGTCAGTGCATGGGTTCTTGATTTAATGTTAAATGCATGTACATGACGGATTACAGCTTCTAAGAGTTTACACAAATTTTTCAGTTTTTGGCAGTTTCCCTGTGTATATCATATAATGTAGCTACTCAATCCCTCAAGGTCAGCCCCACCCCCTCCGAAGTTGAAGGTCATACGTCCGCACTTGGATGCAGGAGGTTTATTGGTTAATGTCAGATGGACAAAATTATTTTGTATAAATAAGTTATCTCTCTAATCTTTGTCTAAGTCTAATTACTCTTATCACTTAGTTATCAGTGAAGTGTTGATTTTGTTTTCAATTTTATTTTTACTTAGAAATATTTATATTCATCTCTGCAGATTTGAAAGGTTTTATGCATTTATATACAAATTCTAAATCTATTCAATTTTATAATCCAATCAAAACAGCAGAATTTTTAAAAGATCTTTAAGAATTAAGTGTAACAATAACATTAAATAGGATTCATTAATGAAAACATACATTATTATTACATAGAGCAGGAAACTAGCACTGATGGGGTATTATATCATGGGTTATTTTCGGTAATTGGTGGCAATGTACGAGAAGTTGTGGGACCTCTCACAATGACCTTACCCTGTCAACGACCTAAAACTAATTGGTCAAATCCACAGACTATCTACAATCCATAGTCCTTTTTAAAAAAAACAAACTCTGAAATGTGTACATTTTTAATATTACGGAAGAAATGGAAGGTATGCTGTAACCCACTGGTTTCGATTGTGTGTGTGTTTTTATTATATAATATATTATCTAAGTACTGATGTTTAACAGTGCTTGAAAAATTTTTCCTGTTTATTCTTCTTAACAGGAAGGGGATACAAGAATTAAAACTTGAATTACTTGTCAGTGATGGTCGAGGAAAGAAATTACAGTCCGTTTTCATTGTATCAGTTAATTATGGGAGAGTTAAGCAGACGTACATGTATACTTCTTCTATCTGCAGGTCAAAACACCACTTCAAAACCCAACACAGTTCCACGTCAGTGAAAACCAGAAACGACAAATTCATCTCTTCCTTCACAACACGGGCAAGGTCAGCACAGCCCAGTCTATGCCCGCTCTCACCACCCAGATGCCCGCAGCTAACATGCCCACCACGGTCAGTGGGAGCGCGCCCGCTGTGGACCCAGACAGCCCACTCTCTATGGGCTTCAGTAGCGCCACCAACAGCGTCTCCGATTTTAATGAGGTAAGTCAGGAGTTATCACCCTTGATCATTGTACAGTGAAGACTGTCTAACCCAACACTTGTGTTATCCATTACACTGTAAATTCCGACGTTAAGTTTCTTTCCCGTTTGACTATTTTTATTGTTTTGTACACTTTACAATCTGGCACACCATCTATTTCACAAAATTCGTCTCCCATTGTATGTCGGATCAGGCAGGTTTCACTGCATGTATACTGTTTAGTTTGTGGTTTTATTCATCTAAGTAAGTTTTTGTTGTTCTGAAACCTTCAACCCCAGTCAAATTCATTAGGGATTCGGTCATAAAATTTATGTTAATTTTTACTTGGCTAATGTACTCATTAGACTTGAGGATATGATGTATACCTTTAAAGTGAATGTTCAGAACAATCTTTTAATGGCTTATATGAAACTCCTCACATATTTATATAATTGTTTATATTTTTTCCAAAAAAAACCCCAATTAATTGTTTTAGGTTTATAAAATAGATGTTCAAAAAAGTTGTTTTTAAATTTTATATTTATATTCAATGGCGGGACGGTTTTGAACTAGCAAACTATAAGTAATTGCTGCACCAAATCACAATGAAATCCTTCTAAAGACGTGTACGTCATGTACTTATAAATGTAATACATTTGATACTCTTCATTTTAACAATTAAAAATCTAAATAAAGAATTTAGTTAAATACAGTAACAATGAACATGAGTATGGTCCTTGAAAACAACTTATTATTATCTATATAAAATTCTTATCAAAAATAAAACTATAAGTGCATACATGCAAACTGCTGCTAAAATCAATTAAAAATGAACTAATCAAATCCTAACTTCCTTTATTGATACACACTGGTATCCCAGAATAAGCTTAACTTCCTGTATTGAGGTCTAGACAAATATGGTCATTTAACACTGATTGGTGAATTATAGTTTGTGGTTATTCAGTTGTCAAATGTAATATTTTATAAAAATTCTCATTTTTTCATACACACAAGTTTCCTTATGTAAACGTAATGCAACTCAGCTTAAATATAATAGTACATGAAATTCATCTTTTCTTTTTTTTATAACTAAAATGAATTATTTGGTTTATAAATCCTAATGTACATATGTACTAGTATAACACATATCAAACCCAACAATATAATACCACGGTGTTACAAGTCTTAATCCAAATTCAGTCAAAATATGTAAGGGGGGGGGGGGTGTTTAAAAGGAGAGGGGCTTTTGAATGTTTATACTTTTGATGAAACAGGAAGATAAACAAAAAAATTTGTTATGCATGATCTTGCTAATAATTTCTTAATTAAGAAATTATAAAAAATTGAATTTCCTTGAACATACATTACTGGATTATGATTACGAAATCAGCATTCTTCTAGGCATTTAGATCCAACTACATGTATTAGCATATGATTTGAACTGAAAGAAAATAAATATATGTTTAAAAATATATAGGCCTTTCTTTTTTCTAAAGTAGATGATTTATAAATTTAAATGTATCAAATAAATTCATATATTGCTTAGTATAAGTTGCACTATTTAAATACTTTGATAACATTATACATGTTATAAGTAGACTATTTTAAGACTCCATGAAATACTTAACATTTTTTTTAAATTTTCATAAAAATCCAAATTAAAAATGGCCACACATCATATTCTATAATTAATCCATTACTTTTTTTGCTCATAAATAAAGACGTAAAAGTAAAGCTGATTTACTAGATATACTTTACATTTAATTATTTCCGATGAATCGTCAATCTCCTTTGTTTTATAAGTTATAATCATTATAACCACTTGACAACATCCTTGTACATGAAATACCCATGCCCCTTTATACTCAGAGGTGTGATAATGAGTTAGTCTAATAGATGATTCTGGTTAGGTATAATAATGAGTTGGTCCTGATGATTGATACTATCAATAATTCTTGTAAGGTTTGATAAATACAGTTGAACTTCAGTAACCCTTACTCTGATATCTCAATTACCATGGATATATCAAAGTGATATGGAATTCCCAACCACTTATACTTTAAGTGTATTTTACAATATCTCGAATCCTAAGATATCTTTTAAGTTTTTTCTCAGCCCCATCAGGTTTGAGATAAGAAAGTTTGACTGTACTTAGTCCTTTCATTGATATCCTCATTTTTTTTTCTTTATCAGGTGGACAACCTCCTGAATGATCTCATCAGCCTGGAATCTGTGGATCCTAATGTGGACCAGGACCTAAATCTCCTGGACATGTCCTCTCTCAACCAAATGTCCTCAACGGTAAGTTATCTACACAGCTAGAACCTAGTAATTACCAAAGATCTACCACCATGACCACAAAAATCTATCTATCACAAAAAGTTATGTATTACATGTATTAGAACATTTCTGGATATGATCCTCAACCAGTTATTCCACAGAATGAAGCTTTCAGTATTACTCCAAATAGTACATTGTCATATAAGCAGTGTTTTCAATAAGATTTTGAATAGAAGGAAAAAGAGATGGAATAGCCTCAACAGAGCAAATTCAGCATTTTTGACTCACTTTTCTTACCTCTCTGGCCATAAAACTTTTACTACTCACATTCCTGTCACTATCGATTATCAAATTTTAACCTAAAAAGTATATGTAATCATCAAAGGTCTACCAAAAAGTTATCTCTTAGAACCTTTTTCACATAAATTGGTCAGGACTTTTATTCAAAATAAAAAAAAAAAAATTATTTAGCTAAAAATTTAAGATTTTTTAAACACTTGGTGATGTACTTGAAATATTTTGCAATCAATAAAATAACTTTAAATTGATTTATTTTTTGACATTTTGTACAGATTGTCAGAACAAAATAATTAAGAAAATGGAATTTGATACAAAACACTAGTACTTTAAAACCTTCCCAAATGTGAAAACGATACCTTACACGAATAGTTCCTCAATTCTTCAAAATGTTACGGTTTATATAATCTTTTACATATCAAATTCTGTATTTCATTGTTTTAATAATTTATGAATAATTTATTTGTCACTCATCTCTCTCCATATAAGTTTAACCACAACGAGGTATTATGTGATTTAAATGGACGGGTTTGTTGCGTAAATTTTTTCAGAAAAGTTCATATAGAATGGGTTCAGATAATTTTTGGACAAATGTCCATGACATTTCCATCATTTAACCGAAATAATCTAGTTTAGAACAATTTTCCACTAAATATGCTTAACTGTCATGTTTAGTTTGTAAATTTTTAGAAAAATATAACTTTTGTGAATTTTGAAAATTGAGAAACATTTTGTCCATCACTATCCTAATATACATGAATATTTGCAAAAGAAAATTATAAAACACAAACAAATCTTTTCGGAAGTATGTGTTACAGCAGCAGCACGTTTCTCCACGCGCTCAAATATTCGTTGTCCGCGACGCCATTACATGACACTATCGCTAATCAAACTTCCTCGCTCTAAAGGGAAGTAATTTATTGGCAAAATCCTAGCTCTTTCACAAATTTGAAGGCTCTTTTCAATGAAAATTTAACTTGACCACTTGTTAAAAATTTATTAGGCTGGTTCAGATTGTTTAGCAAAGTATTCCACCAGTTGTTATTATATGCTTGCACAAATTCACAACAGTAAGCCATATGATCATTTTAAAATTTGAAGGCTCTTGTAGTAAAGTACTGAAAAGCAATCCATAAATTTTGTTTTTACACAATCATGAATTTATCAAAGTTTTAAGTGTTAATGCTTGAACTTGATTTTTGTATTGTGCACGCAACTCCTCTGACATAAAAAATGGACAATCATAATTCTGATTTTACAGCTGGCATTGTGTTTTCTGTACTTCTTGAGATAATGCTAATAAGGCCTTTCATTGTTAATTTAAAGTACATGCATTAATTATTCAATATTTGTCCTTGTTCAATGAAACAAACAAGAACAGCAGGTAAACAAACTTTTCCACAATCATTTAATTACCCTCCCCCAAACAATATCCCTATTTGTCGACTCTTGACGTATATCGTCCCCTCTTTCCTGACCTTCCAGAAAATCTAAATCCTCCATTAATTAGTCTGCGTTTTCTCCAATGAGGTCATCTGTGGCTTATGCTCCCCGACATTTGAACTTCGTTGTGAGGGGGATGTGGTAGAAATATTGGCTTAACGGGCCAGAGGTTTTAGAGACCCACTTCACACCCTTAGCTTAGCCACACTTAGACTCTTCAGACATACTTCTGTGTTTCTGTGTTCTATTTTTTTCCCCCAAGAGGATATCTATACTGAAGGATCTTGAGTCACTAAGACAAGTGTGATAATTAGTTACGATTTTATTTCTATTTCCCCGCTCATTGTGTTTTTACTGTCACTTTCACTTTATCCTTTGCGACACTTGTCACCAGCCATGAACTCGATCATGTGGCATGAGGTGCTTTTTTTCGATAAGATGCAGGTATGTTAAGATAACGTATAATGTATTATAGGATGTGTACTTGGATCATTTATTTGGAATAGTCAAAGCTGCCTCATGTGATATTGTGTTTAGAGAATATTGGTAAAGCAATCTCAACATTTGACAGTTGTTAACTTTTACCTTTTCCTGAGTCTTGCATGAATGACTCTAGGACCCAGGGTCATTATTCATAGCCTGGACTTCACTATTTATTTATAATTCCGAGGATTATCAAGGTTTTTTCTCAAGGTCATTACTCTTTTTACACTAAGGGTTGTGTGAACTATGGTTTATGGCCATGTGAAATCATGTGACACTCTACAAATTCTAGAGATCTATACCTGTGTTTCAAGCATGTTCTATTAATATCAGCTGATTCTACTTAATTTAGATAAATATTTTTGGAAAGGTAGTCTTATCTTGTAAAATAGTTTCGGAGTATGCATCATGAGGATTTATAAAGTTATATATAAGGTAGATCAATTTTCTTTTTCTAGATCCAAAAATTTCTCTGACATGTATAATTATGCTAACTGGTAGATGATGATAAAGATAAGAGGCTAATTTTCTTTAATATTAGTACAGATGTACTAAATATAGCTTTGCTTAATAAATCTGGTAAGACTGTTTATAGCTGCAGCATATATTTTAAAAATATTTTAGGCTTCTCACTTAAAGTTAAAAAATAAGTTTTTGCATATAGTTTTCTGGATTTTGAGTACAGAGCCTTCCCATTTCACAAAGTTAGTTATGTTTGTGGATGATTGATCATGCAGGGAATGCTTTTTCTACCTATATTCTACCCATGGACAAAAAAACTTATATTCTAGCTTCCCAATTTAATACCCTTCAAATATGAAATGTCTTTTAATTGTCTTACTTTTGAAAAGGGTATGTGAGTGGCTAAATATCAATTTATATAATGTATTACTCCACAATCATACATTTCAATATTTTATGATTAAAAATTTATTTTTTAAATTTTTTTAGCTGCCTCATTCCAACAATATCTTGGGACTTTACAATGAATCTTCAAACGACCCAGAGAGTAGTAACACAGCAAGCTCCTGTCCCGCTAAATTCACCAACATCCCCATGCCTGAGTTCCTCTCAGAGGAGGAGCAGAGAATGTGGGCGAAAGACAGACAGAAAAAGGACAACCATAACATGAGTAAGTGGTGGATCCATATAAAAATAGGGAGTGGGGGGTGTTGAGTCTTCAGTGGTGGATCCAGTAAGAATTGGGAGTGGGATATATAATTATAGGATAAAAAATTTATTAATGTCATTAGCATCATTTTGGTACCAAACACTGAGGTCATAAGACTCTCATCAAGTTATTACCTAATATGAAATAATAATTTTCAGTCCCCAATTTTTTTTCTATAAAAATGAAGTGCTCTTAAGTTCATATTGAAGCACTCTCGAGGTTTCAGTATCAGACAAATTGTATCTATTTTGCACTGCACAGATTCCCAAACATAAAGTGTATTGAATTATTGGAGGAAGACAGCATTCAGCACCTCTAAGTTTAGCTATGTACTTTGTCAACTGCCCCCTATTATCTCGCTTCACTTTGATCATGTTGATGTGAAGTACCAGGCAAGCTTGTCGTCAAATATGTTTTTGATCTGGTTTTAAGTGGATTATTTTACTTCAGCCACAAATTTATGGAAAATAAAGTGGTATTCAGATAAAAATGATGTATAAAGAGGTTTTTGTTCCTGGTATAAAGCCCAATATCAGAGTGTGTGCAATAATTATTGGTGTTTTATACCCAATTTTTAAAAAAACAAGGATAAACCTTTACCTACAAATTTAATAGTGCATTGCTATCATTTTCCCCAGATACAATTTCATAAATTATGTTTAGTTTACCTGGTCAGTGAAAAATTCATACTTCCTGAAATTTTATTGTGTGTGCTTTAATTTACATTTTGTGGTTTTAAAATGAAAGTACCTGAATATATTATCTTACTTTGCTATATCTACATTAAGCTACATTTATTACTATACATAATAATTATTACAATGACATAAATCCTATTAGTATAGATTGAAGTTTTTTACTTTTAGAAGTTTGAAAATGAATCAACAAATTAATAACCACTGACTTATCCTGTTTCTATTTCTCCTTTTACAGTTGAGAGAAGAAGAAGATTCAATATTAATGACAGAATCAAAGAATTAGGGACCCTCCTCCCAAAATCCACAGACCCGTAAGTTTTTTGGTATAATTTTGATTTTTTTAGTGTTTAATTTCACAAATTCATATTTGTCTTCAAGCATTTGTGTTATAGAGCTATTTTCTATGCACTGGGTATACAGTCATATTCAAAAGACAAATCTAGCTACACATAAACATTAAACTCAGTGCTAAAACAAGGATGGAAATATGATTTCTATTCAGTACACCCTAATTATTGTTAACATATATTGTAACAATAACTCAAGAATGAGAAAAACAACAATAACAAAGTCCAGAAATAAACATAGCAGCTGATGTCACCATGTGACCTCTGGTAACCAGGTCAACATCTGTTGCCATGGCATCTCTGATCAGCTGATCTGTACTTTATTTACATCTTTATTTATATAACTATGAAACTTATTAAGTGTTTGGCATGAATCAGCAATGTTACAGAGTTTCGTTAATGTCACAAAACAATGTGTTACCAGAGGGTGACTCACATATGAAATAAATTGTTGTACGTATATGGATATTTATTACTTTTTTAATGTCCGATAGTGTAATTGTTCAAAGGTTGAAATTGCTCTTTATGGCATATGTAAAGTAAAGTGTTTATAGTTGTATCCAAGTATATTTATAAAATATATATAAGTCCTACTTGAATACAAATGTAACACGTTAAAAATGAACATCTTAAATAATTCATCTCCAAGTTATACCAGTACAAGGGGTACTGGTGCACTTTAAGTGTAATCTTCATTAAAGTGCAGAACTATTTAATCTAATTTTCCCTTAAGCTTTGTGTTGCTGGGATGAAAACAATATTGACCTGTCCAATAACACAAGTGTATAATGTAATTCTTAAGACTACAGTCTCTGCTCTTAATCATAAATGAGGATAATTACAGAAACTGTACTGTCAACATAGAAATCAAATATTTGTCTGATATCAGAATTGTTAAATTTTTCTATAACATCATAATTAGTGCTACTTTTTATTCACAAGAACTTTATTTTACCATAAGTACCGGTACAACTTTCACAAGTTATTTAGAGACCATCTGCTAACAGAAAATTATTCTTGCATAAGATCTTTTTTCATAAAGATCGACAGTCAAAATTCTTAACATTTTGTTTAAGTTTTAAATATCAAAAGTGCATTTAGCGAAATTAAGGTGCCAAAAAATTTCAAATTAGTAATCTACAGCATAAAATGATAGTTAAGCCTATAATAAGATATTTAGAATTTATAAAGATTTTATCCACTACAGAATGAAGGCAATATTACTATAATGAAAAAAAAACCTTTTGTATTTTATAGAGATATGCGACAAAACAAAGGCACAATCCTAAAGGCTTCAGTAGACTACATCAGGAGGTTAAAGAGAGACCAGGACAAGATGAAGACACTAGAAGTCAGACAGAGACAACTGGAGATGAACAACAGAAAAATGCTCCTCAGAATGCAGGTACTGTAAAGCTATGATCCTCATAGGGTCATTTTGACGTTTGAAAAAATATTGATTTGTAGAGATAGTTGTTTCTATATATGTATACTGTGAAATCACAAATTTTAGTGGGGGGTTAATTTTTGTTGTTTTCGAGGTACTATGAGACCCACAAATTGATGACCACCACGAAATGTAAAATGTTACATACAAAAGTACTCATTTAATCTTGATCCACGAAATCAAATTCCCACGAACCAAGAGATTTTCCTCAAACCACAAAAATTCGACCCCACAAAAATATGTGATTTTACAGTATCTGGTTTTGAGTGAATAAAGAATTGAATTGATTGATTTTTTGTGGTTATAAGGAAGGGTAGGACTATTTTTTTTTTAAATTTCAACTTTTCTTGGAGAATTTAATTCTTGGTTTCTTTATGCCAAAAGCAAAGAAAACGATGAAAAATTAACAAAAACACCACAAAAAAATGAGTGCTTTCCCAGTAATTAGGCTAGTATACTGATAAGAAAAATCAAAGGCATTCTTGCAAAATAAAAACTTAAATAGAATCGTCATGTAACTGACTATACTTATATTTATGTTGGCTTTATTGATACAGTTTGTTCATTGTTTTTATACTTCTTTTCCTTCAGCAAATGGAGTTGTTGATGAAAGCTCAGGGTATGCAGACTGGTCTAGACACAGAGATAGAACAGCTGACCCTATCCCAGCAGCCGGTCACGTTCCAGGCACCTAAATTCCAGCCCGATCTTGCGGGACTCACCAATAACATGGACGTTTTCATGGACGACAGTTCCCCCGTGAACGCTGACCCCATGCTCTCATCAGAGCCAGTCAGTCCAAGTAACCTTGACGATTCGTCAGACATGTTATGAAATAATACTCAAATGATGTCAGGATGTGTCATGTGACCTCACTCGGCAAACTCTGCCCGACAGAAGACTCTCGGCCCAAGATATTGAGTATCTGTGTGGCAGGAAGGCTTATTTCCTGAAATGTCTGCAGACTTATAGCAGTTCCCAGAGCAGGGATGATCAGGATGGACTTTGTTGATGTTTTTCGATGAGGATGGCAAAGTTCTTCATTTGTGATCAAAGTTTCTATCAAAAAGTGCAATTCCCTTTTATCCTTCTTTAATATATCGGGATGGATATTAAATTTTTGTGATTGTTTTCTTTTTTGAGCCCTCACCCCCACCCATACCCACATACAGCCCCATCTAAAATGTCTCTTGAGCCCCCCTCCCCCATCTCCACCCCATTGTCTTACTGCCAGAGTAATTCAATACAGGAGATGGAGTCAAACGTTGTAAATAAATACATATATTCTCGTTTTACCTTATTAAAGTGCTGACAGAATGTTATCAAATGACATGGTAAAATCATGTTTTATTTTGCCTTATTATGTTATAAAATGGGTGTTTGTGTCGATGACATGAAAGTATTCATAAGAAAATGTAGACTTGGCTGGACCATTTTAAAGAACAAAATACATGTACGCACATGAATTCACTTAGTTTTAATTTTTTTTATTTAAACATGATAAATACTGAAAATGTATGTATCCAAATGGAAAAACAGATTAACTGTTCTATTTTTATCTTGATGGTGCTATATTTTGTACATACATGCAATTGTTTGAGATTGAATGTTGATGAAAAATTGTTTGAAAGTAAATGTGAAATGTTGTTTGAGGCATACCAGGTAGTGTTTGTTAATCAGTGTACAGTTCTCTTTACTCATGTCATCATGGTTTGTTGTTAATAACATTTTCTTCTATATAATGTGTGCAGCATAATGCACAACAGTGAAAAAAATGCTTAATTATTAATTCTTGAACTTAAAATTAATTCACAAAATACAATGCACATGCTTTAAAAATTGTGAAACCTCTGTAAAAAGTTATCGTTGGATATATAAAGAATGATAAAAAATTGTTAAAAAATGTAATATAAAAAATTTGATTTCAAAGTTATTGTAAGACAAAATAAAATATCATCCCTAAATGAATTTTTAGTGAATCTGTCAGTAAGTGAAATAGTAGAACTTTCAGTAATGATGTCTTTATGAATTGAAAATTTTGCCCTAGGGATTATTGTTAGATTTTAAGCAATTCAGTTAAAATAAAAACATTTCTGTGTAATGCATTTTAAATATGTTTTGCAAGTTGAAATAAAAATTATTTCAACATACTTCACACATGAGAAGCACTGGATGCATGTTTCTTGAATGCAATATGGATATATGCATGTACATTAAAAGGTTGTTGAAAATATGTAGTTGAGATATTTGGGTTTTGAGTGAACATATTGTAAATACTATTGTTTTTAATCTTTATTTTATAAATGATATTTTAGCACAGGAAAATGATTTTACTGTATAAATTGATATGTATTTGACTTAAAAATTCCGATTGCATGTATGCGATCAAGAAACACATGCAGACTCTTAAATACATTTCCTTTTGTTGGAGAGAAATGTTTACATGTTTGTATTTTGTTACTGTGTATACTTTATTTCAATTAAGAAAGAATACAAGTTTTGTTTTAACTCATTAGCATTATTCTTATTCTGAAGAAAAGTTTTATGAAAAATAAATATAGACAAATAAAGTAAAATCTGTTTTTGTAGGAGAGGGAGAGAGAGAGAGATTATTGAGTGGAGATTGGCTTTCAGTGCCCATGAATCAAGATTGGAGATGTGCTGTAATACTGAATATAAATTGATTCATAGTGTCGACAATGCCATTTTTTAAAAATTTATTTTAACAAAAAAGACAGTTTATTATTTTTCTGTCTTGGAGAGGGCGATTTAATAAAAAAGGGCAGTCAATTATTTTGTGTCTTTCTGAGTACATATAAAAAACTTATCTTTAACTATTTACTGATGTGAAGAATCTTGAATATCTCTTCTGAAAATAAAATATGAGTTGAGTGGCTTGAAATTTGACTGTGCAACTCCGGAGAAAGGCAGTAGTTTAAGATTTATCAAAATACCAGTACAAGGACTGCTCAATAAATAATGTCCTCGGTGCTCGGAGGGAAACAAAACTAGGGGTACTTTGAGCAAATAAGAGGTGCATGTTGGCAATGTGTAATAAAGATTCTGTGAAAGTTTCATCAAATTTCTTTCAGTGGTATGAGAGAAGTTGCGGATAAGAGATGCATGGGTACACCAAAGTGTACCAGACGGACGGACATATCGATTATTATATACCCTCCCACTTTTCAAGTGAGGGGGGTATTAAAAACCCTTATCAATGATTTAGTCTAAATGATTTCACTTACATTATATTCTCTTTAAATTAAAATACATGTCCGTAACATTTTCATCCAATTTCTGATTGTATTTAGAACACATTTTTGAGTATGGCCTCTCGTATACTGGAATATGGCAGATCCTATATATATAATTTCTTTGACTTGTTTCTTCTTTCCGAAAGGTTCTTTTTCAAGTTTGGAAAATGAAACAAGTCAAATGGCGAAAGATCTGGCGAATATTATTATACTGTGAAAGAAAATTACTTTCAGTTTATCCCCAAAACTCCTTTAATCAGGATATGTGGGTTTGGACGCTGGCATGAAAAAACAAAATATAGTGGATTCCTGAATGAAACATAGAGATAACGAACAGTATTCCAGATCAAAAATCCATAAAACAATACAAACAGGAGCAGAGCAAACTTGAACCTCCAAAATATCAGAGGTGGGACCAGGTGCCATGGAGGAGTGAGCATCCCCTGCCGACCGGTCACACCCGGCGTGTGCTCCGTGTCATGATCGGGAAATAACGGGAAAATCCGTCCTCAATTCAGTGTATAAATAATGGACTGGGAAAGCAAACAGGTTTTTAGGAATTCATCCATGATGGGATTTGTTCCAAAACTTTGAATTTTCATTTTCGTTTGGATCGAAATATAACTTGTAAATTCTATGTGGAATATTTTTTTAAGTGATTGAGAAATTTTTACATTTTATATTACTAAGGAAATATTTCTCCAAAATTTATAATAAGAAAAAAATCAGCATTGAATCAGATTTATTTTAAGACCGTGCTTTATTTTAGATACAGAATAGTTGGCTTATACGACAATACAGAACGGAGAGTAGCTCCGCCAACTGTAGCCCCGCTCAGAATAGCAAACTTCAAAGAAAAATATCGCTATCGTGTCACTAAATGAAATACTAATTCAACTGAATTTTTCAAAAATGTATTTTTCAAAACTTTTATACTGTTACAGTGTAACACATAATTATGGTACAGGAAAGGGTCTTTAACTAAATTTAAACTGAATAATTTATTGACAGCAAATATATTGATTTTAAACATGTACCTGAATTTAACCATCATCGTATGAAATTTAACCTTTTATTTGTTTTGGTTGAAAAATCAGCCTACGGTTCATAAACTGAGAAATGCAAGAGTTGCTGTTATTTGTTTGGTTTAGACTGCCCTTTGTCTTGAAAAGTCCGGTAGCTGGCGACACCTTTATCCTCTGTTTTAGAGGATAAAATCTATCCTTCAAAAATAGAGACCGCCTAGACCTATTGAAAAAAGCACTTAAGTTCAGTTACATAATTGTAGCGAGTGCCAAAGCACGGCATAAACAATATAGAATTTTGTATAAAAATATATGTTCATTTTCAAAAGATCTTTGTCACTCGTATATCTTGTATAAATACTCACTCATTTTTATAAATAAGAAATAACAAAACACGTTGAAAAGGCACATTATTGCTTCAAATATAATTTCTTGTTCTTTTTGGTTCCCACAAGTATAACATTTACTTCTATCTCTGTGTCACTGAACATCATCTGAACTCTGATATCTCCTTTGTGGCCATGGTCTTCGTAATGGAAAGATATTTTTCCGATTGAGGAACAGTCATCCTCATCAATATACTTAGGGTTAGTTTTAGTGGAGGTGAATACTTCAACATAGAAGTTTCCATCATAAGTAGAGTAGCCTTTGTTACTTTGATACTCTCCTACAGTTATGGTTTCATCTATTGTCACGTGTTTACTAAACAAATATTTACACATAATCTTTCCTCCTTTTTCTACTTTGTGTTTTTCATCATGAATTTCTGGATTAAAATTTTCCTGCACTTTGATGCCGTACGTATATTTACTGATTCTTTCTTTGATGAGACTTGAGTCGTGGCCAAAAATAACAGCTCCTCTAAGCACTGACCAGGCAGCTTCTTGAGGAATTATAATTCGTTTCTCTGGAAACCTTTCTCGGACTGCATGAACAAGCATAGGTGATTCTGCGTAGCCACCAACTAACAAAATCGTACTTATGTCCTTGCCATCTTTTGTTTTAAAAAGGGAAGACATATGGTCAAGAATATGCCTAATAGATTGAACGAAAAAGCTTTCAGCTGTGCTAGATTCCAATCGTAATTTATCTCCCATGAAGGAAATTTTTACTGACTTTCCCCCTGGAAGCTCCACTGTAGTAATCTTTCTCAATGATTTTCCTCGATATACCGACTCGTAAATATCTGATAATTCAGATGGAACTCTAACATTGACTTTGGAGGTGGATCCGGGCTTTAATGCACGCTTTGCAATTTCAAATTCTCGAGATATTTCATATAACAGACTTCGTTTTTCTCTCTTAATTTTCCTCATCACATTTTCACCAACAATGTTTTCCACAAAGTCAATGTAGTTTTCATCCACTTTTGTGCCTCCCCAGTCTCCACCAGATGCCTTTAGAATTTCTTTTACTTTTCCATTTTCCAAAACCTCGTGTGCTGTTATATCAATTGTTCCTCCTTTATAAATATAATGAGTCGTGTCTTTAGACATCGTCGGATACAACGCTTGTCATCGTCTTAACTCATCTAAAGACGAGATCACCCGTGGCAATCCGACGATGGTCTTTAGATACTATTCACTTTGTAGGAAAAATAAATGTCATTGTTTGCATTGTGATATGATTTTAAATTTTAAAAACTAAAATTAAAATCTTCTAACCATCATTCTAATGAATGATTAATATACAAAATAATTACCACCGGCATCAACTACTATGTATTTGGATCCCTTTGAGAATGTTTTGAAGGTTTCTCCAAGCTCTCCGTCAACCTTTCTATCGACTGGTAAGTACTTCACGAAGATGGCGGCAGCTTCTGGCTCCAGAGCTATTGTCAACTTTTCAGAAGATATTCCTGCCTAGTGAAATATTAATCATATATATATATTAAAACCTTGATTACAAAACGAAATGTGAAGAACACATGATATATATACACATGTATAATTATAAATATATATGGTCATTTTTAGTGCTTTATATATATATATATATATATATATATATATATATATATTGAAACAGAAAAAAATCCACAGTGCTCGGTAGTGCTCGACAGTGATCGGTAGTTAACAGGTAAATCTTTTTAAAAAAGAAACACGAAAACCTTTAGTTTAGCTTAAGCGCTTTCATTTCAACTCTTCAGAAGCTTTATAAAGAATATATATATATATATATATATATATGTGACAAGCCATGAGAATTTTGGCCCAAATGAGGTACCTGAGAGAAAATGAGATTTTTATACTATCTAGTAGAGATGACCCCCAGTAACAACTATCTGTTGTTTTTTCTTTGATATCCCTATTCATTGTCAAGAAAATTGGACTTTACTAATTGGTTGTTATGCGCCCGGATCGGTAGATCAGGGGCGCATACTGTTTTTGTCCTGTCTATCTTTAAATGTTAACCTTTGCCATAACTTTTGAACCATGAGAGATAGAAACCTCATATTTGGTATGCATATTCCAGTAACCAAGCTCTTTCAAATGACACCAAGGTCAATGACCTTGTGACCTTGACTGTGACCTACTTGTATTTGCTAAAAATAGTCTTTTTGAACCTTTGCAATACATCTTTAACAATACGAGATAGAAACTTCATACTTTCTATGCATACTCCACTAAATTAAGTTTTTTCAAATGACACCAAGGTTAATGACCTTGTGACCTTGACTGTGACCTATATACTAAAATTAGTTTTTTCAAACTTGGGGACCACTGGGTACATAGTGTTTCATGAACACATCTTGCTTTATCTGATATTGGTGATTTCTGCGACTTCAATGAAGTAACACAATTTGAAATAGATGTCATTTCATTCTGAAACACATATTGTTTGATCAAATTAATACATATAACAGTTTTAAGAACTAGATAAAATCAAACTCTTAACATCCATGACAGCATGTAAATTACATTGATTTGTTACAATGTTAATTTGCACATTTTCTCTTTCCTAATTTCACTTTCTGTTCAACTTTTATGGCTGATGGTTTTGGTACACTTGGGCGGGGACATGCCTCATGACTGGCACAGTATGGGGCCACCTCGTCGTATAAATACCACTGTCGCTGTGCGTCAAGGCCACATGCTTTAATAACAGTTGGAAGAGAGGCATCCATGTTTGGAAACCTGAAATCTTTGTGTTTCAGGATGTAATTTCTTCATCTCCAGCATACTTTCGTAGATGGACTACTCCAGGATGTTCATGTGTCATGCTGCAAAAGTCAAAGATGTTAGATCTTCCAACATATATTTTTTTTTTAATATATTTATCTACAGCTTAATGCAAAAGATATTGAAGGAGCACAGTCATGGCAGTTAGAATTAGTTAAGAATTTCTTTTCAGTTCTGTTTTTAGCAGCATACATGTATACAAAAATTTTCAAAATTCAATGCTAACAGAATTCTTCATAACCTTATACTTAAAATTTGCATTTGTCAACATGGGCTTAAATCTGATGTATTTGGTGTTTGCTTTTGGGGATTTTTTTTTTTTTTTTTTGTATACATGTTCATGTAATTTTTTTAATTTGACAACATAAAGATTTTTAATTGAGGGATAAATTATATAAGCATAAGAAAATAAAAGAATATATGACAAACAAACACCAAATATATATATTTAATAAGATGATCATGTATAAAGAAAAATACTAAATTAATTTTGATGTTTTGGTCTGAAAATCGCTGGTTTTACTAAAGTCATGAAATTCAGACCAAATTAAATAAAATGAAAAAAAAATATAATACCATAGAAGTACTTTTTTCGTATGGTATTAATTTACGGTATGTACGCGGTCACAAATTTTTCACGGAAATTTGTCCAAGCATATTTAATAAACATGTAAGGTATATATATAGGGACAGTTAAGAAATCCACATGATTTTCTACCTGCAGATTAAACAAAAATCAAGATTCCGCAGAATTATGACAGCGTGGAAAAAAGTATGTCTACAGTATACTTGAAGATCTTATCTATGCCTCTCTGTGCATTTGTTGTTCTGTGATAACTCAACCTCCAATAAATTAATTGCTAAAAAACACAGGCAATATAATGCATACCGAAAATGATGATACTGCTTGAGTTGAGGTATTGGCTTGAAGTACTGCTTGAGAAACGTGCTCCAGTCATAGAAAATGACTGGATACTGGGGATCCTCTACAAGCTGGGGAATATTATGGTTATTCCTAGATGAATGAGCAACGGATTTGGCCACTTCCTCAAGATTCTCTGCAGTTGTTCCTCGCCATTTCACCTTCCAGAGCCCAAAGTGCCAGTCGGGATGAAACTTTGTGTGGCCTGCCTCCATCAGAGAAAACTCAATGGTCATATGTCTGCCGGTCATAACTCGCCACATCCCATATCTACAAGACATTCTTTTAAAATAAAATTCAAAAGAGACAAGATCTCTAAATGCACTTCTAAAAGAACTTCATTATGAAACTAAACTAATCAAAGAGAGCAAATGAATTGAAAATAATTTTGCCAGTGTATTTCATTACATGTACCACATGTAAACATGGATGTATTTGACATGAAGACACCTATTGTATTAATTTTGCAAAAATACCACCCGCACAAATGGTAGTTAAAATATAGACAGTTGGATTGGAAATACATACCCAATAACAGTGTTGTTTTTATTTTGACCAGTGCAGTTGTCCATATGGAGTTGTAAATTCATTTCTCCATAACCTTTATGTTGAAAATGGTGGTGAATCATACTGGCAACAGAGTTTGCCCCCTTTCCAGAATGCTGAGACTCATCAATCAAGTAAAATATCTGTGATCCTGGATAAAAGTTCACAAAAAAATGTTTGCACTGAAAAAGTTAATTATTCTTTTACTTCAATTTTTTTTTTTGAAAGGGTGCATTTCTAAAAATGTAATTCTAAATTTACATGTTGCATGTTTTAGCCAATTAAATGCACTGCCTAGTCTGTTTTATAAATTAAATTTGTTAGACTAGTAGTAGTAAACTTGTACATGAATCTATAAATTTTATTTTCTATCATTGAACTAAAAGAGTAATGCTAAAAAATCAATTAGACTATTGTAGTCTTGTGTTTGACGTTCTAAAAATTACCTGAACCCTCTGAACAGATTCCAAAACACTGGCATTTCCGTGGGGTTTTGAAGAACAAAGGACCAACCTGTTGCGCATAATGTGGATAATGTATTTGCTGGGCATAATCAAAACTGTAATGTTGAGTTCCCTCCAAAGAACAGATGGGCTGACCTGGGGAAAATATCAATAGCCAATTGATTAAGAAAAATCACTAATTTAACAGAACTAATGCATAAATGATTAACTAATTTCAAACAATATTACTTGAATCATATAATAAATTGTTACCTCTGGTTTTTCTCTCATTTGGAAGAGCAGAAAAGCTAGTTTTAGAAACTTCACATTGCCTTCTGTAATAATCCCTCTGCATCTTTGATTTTTCAACATGAGCTGTGTATTTCTCAAGATGTTGCTCCTTTTCCTCTTCTGTCATATTGCCACCATGAACCAGGATATTCGCATAGGATTGGCATTTATAACATAGGTCTGTTGAAGGCTTGCTAATTAGAACATGTGGACATGTATTCAGCCAAACTCTTTTAAATTCTGACAAACATATCTTTCTCAAATGTAGACTCTCTGCAGCTAACAAATAGTCCTGATGTATATCAGCCTTGGTCTTATCAGAGGGCAACACTATAGCTCTACAATCTCTGTAGTTTGGCAGTCTTCCTGGTAATGGTAAACCAAACTTGTTTCCATAAGATGTTAGAAAATCTTTTACAGATTGAACATCATTTACAGTGAGGGCATGCTTTGGATGTTTACCAATGTTTCCATGAATTCTAGGAGCGAGTCCATCCTTATCAAGGGAACGAGCAAGCGCGTCCACCGTCTTCCTATAAACTCCATGGCAAAACGCAAATGTTTCTCTACACACTTGATGTCCATTAAAAAAATATTCTTGTCTAATTCTCTCCCTTTCTTTTGATCTATGTTTCTTTGCACTAGTAACTTTGTCATTTCGCCGATGGTGAAATAATTGCACTTTGATCATCATATCTAGTTCCTCCTTGTTCATTTCCAGGCACGTGTTTCTGTATTCAAGCAAAGATTCTAAATCGACGACCTCACTACATGGTTTTCCGTAGAGTCGAGAACAACCGCATGTTTTAGAATTAAACTTTTGAAATTGGTCAATTTCATTCTTATCTACCTCACTCTGCTCTATTGGTACTAAATTTTCTCGATCTCCTATTTCTCCATCGCTTTCATTTTCGTCAGAGCTCTCTGCGTTATCAAAGTGATATTCTGGGTCGACATCCGATGTGTTTGACAAGTTTCCAAAATATAGGTCATTCACTCGATTTATTTCGTTTACAAATTCTTCATCTTCGTTTTCTACTATTTCCGGGGGGATTGTACTTGCATTAGAAACTGCACTTGACTGGCTTAGTTGGCTGCAGCTTTCCATTCCGGCGATTCTAACCAGTTTAAATCTCCCTCATTTCTCGAGACGCCATGATTGTTTACACCAACAACTCGGAAACTAAACATATGCTAAAGAAGAGTTAGTCTTACGGGGAATAACTCTAAATAATCTCGATTTTTTCCCTCGAAAACTTTCAATAATATTTAAATCAAAATAAGATCGATTTTCTTATTATTTTTGTTTATATAAAAAAGTCTTTAAACATTACACAATTTAAATTCATCCTGCAATTATTTTAACAAGTGCGCGAAATTCACGCTTTTTTGTAAACGTTGATTGTGACGTTTTTTTCATTATTACGTTTTGCCGCATTTGGGCCAAAAATCTCATGGCGAGTCACACATATATATAT